ACTCTCGATTATCCTCCTGCTCCAGCCTCCCAAACCACTGGGATTACAGATGTGTGCCACCACGCCCGGCCTAATAAAGCTGCTTTCTTTTTTTCTTTTTTGGTGCTGGGGATTGAACCCAGGGCCTTGTGCATGTGAGGCAAGCACTCTACCAACTGAGCTATATCCCCAGTCCCTGATACAGCTTTTTAAAAAGGCAGTTTATTAACAACTATCTTCATGTAAATCACACATGCCCACAGATTTTATAAGTTTTATTATAAAGTACCCAGAAGACAAAATCTTCTATAGAAATAAACCTGTGTATAAATATCTAAGAAGAAAAATGTTCAATAACCCTTCAGTAGATAAACGGATTTTAAAAATGTGGCATAAATACACAATGGAATATTACTCAGCAATAAAAGAGAATAAAATCAAGGCATTTGCAGGTAAATGGATGCAGTTGGAGAAGATAATGCTAAGTGAAGTTAGCCAAACCCCCAAAAAATAAATGGCAAATGTTTTCTCTGATATAAGGTGACTGACTCATAGTGGGGTAGGGAGAGGGAGCATGGGAGGAATAGATGAATGCTAGATAGGGCAGAGGGGTTAGCAACGATGGTGGAATGTGATGGACATCATTATCCAAAGTACATGTATGAAGATGAATTGGTGTGAACATACTTTATATACAAACAAAGATATGAAAAAATTGTGTTCTATATGTGTAATAAAAATTGTGATGCATTCCGCTGTCATGTATTTAAAAAATAAAAGCAATTAAAAAAAAGAAAATGAAAAAGTAAAAAAAAAAAAAAAAAAGAATGTTTAATAAAATATTTTCTGTACGAATTGAAGAAGTGAAGGTCACCAAAAAATCTTTTAGATAGAATGTTAGTCAGCTTTTTCATTGCTGTAACCAAAACACCTGGCCAGAACAATTTTAAGGATGAAATTTCATTTGGGAGCTCACAGTCAGAGAGGTCTCATCCATGTACAGCTGGCTCAATTCCTCAGGGCTTGAGGTGAGGGAGAACAGCAGGGAAGAGTGTGATGGAAGGAAGCAGCTCCCATGACGATCAAAAAACAGAAAGACTCCACTTGCCAGTGAGAAGATATACCCTAACGGCACGCCCCCAAGGCCCACCTCCTCCAGCCACACACCCCCAGCCTTCAGTTACCACTCAGTTAATCCCTATCAGGGGATGGGTTCACTGAAAGCTCTCACAATCATTTAATCTCTGAATGTTCTTGCACTGTCTCACACATGAGCGTTTTTTTTATTACTTATTGTTTTATTTTTGCATTTGCAGATGGACAGCAAACATTTATTTTATTTGTTCATTTTTATGTGGTGCTGAGGATTGAACCCAGTGCCTCACACGTAAAAGGCAAGCACTCTGCCACTGAGCTATAGCCCCCGCCCCTCACACATGGGCTTTTGAGGGACACCTAATATTAAAACCATGACACCATCACAACAGAAGGTGTTGCAGAAGTTTCAAAGAATAAAAGCCTTCAAAAAGTGTCAAGTCACAAAAGCAAGTCTCAGAAGAATAATGTTGGGAAGTCAGGTGTGGTGGTACACTCCTGTAATCCCAGCTACTCATGAAGATTGGGCAGGAGGATCACAAGTTTGAGGACAGCCTCAGCAATTTAGACTCCCATCTCAAAATAAAATAAAAAAGCTGGAAGTGCTGGGAGTGTGGCTCAGTGAAAGAGCACTGCTGAGTTCAATTCCTAGAACAACATACACATACACACACACAGAATTAAGTTGGGGAAAAAGATCTAGTTGTTATTTTAAATATATTTTAAAAAAATATTTAGGAAGATCACAAGGGGAAAGAGGGCAAAAGAGGAGTCTCACTTTCTATATCCACATTTGCTGCTTGATTGTCTTTTGACAAGCATGTATTCCTTTTTCATTCTTTGATTTTTTGGTTGTTTTTTGGCATGGTACCAGGGACTGAACCCAAGAGTACTCTACCACTGAGCTACATCCCTGGCCCTTTTTATTTTGAGTCAGGATCTTGCTAAGTTGCAAAGACTGGCCTCAAACTTGTCATCCTTCTGCCTTAACTTCCCAAGTTGCTGGAACTACAGGCATGTGCCATAATTAAAAAACAAAAAAGAAGAAGAAGAAGAAGAATGGGAATTTCCTAAATCATTCAGCAATGTGTCACTTTTAGGGTCTGCTGTGAACTATTCAGTTCTTAAGTCCTCCTATCCAGGATTCATTCATATTTATAAAGTACATAAATAATCAGTGGCCAGGGCTGGGGTTGTGGCTCAGCGGTAGAGCGCTTGCCTAGCACGTGCGAGGCGCTGGGTTCGATCCTCAGCACCACATAAAAATAAACAAAATAAAGATTTTTTTAAAAATAAGTAAATAAATAATCAGTGGCCAACTATAGTTCTAACATTAAAATAAATTAATTTTTAGGGCTGAAGATGTAGATCAAAAGTAGAACTCTTGCCTAGAATATGCAAGGTCCTGTGTTTGATACCCAGCACTGCAAAAATATTATGTAAATGAAAAACTTTTAAAACTTTGTTTCGTCAAACAAATGAACACAGCACCTTTACTCCCCCAACTCACTGAGTGGTGAGTACGTCTACCAAGGAGTGCCCAGTGAGAAGACTCATTTCTGCTTTATACTTTAATATAGACGAGGCCCAACCCAGACAATGCATCTGTGAAAGAGTCAGGCAGCAGGAGCTGTGGAACAACAGCAAGGCTATTATACAAAATGTTCAAGTCTGCTAGGCTATTTGAAACTCTCTGAAAGAAGCACAGGACGTATAACATAACTTTTACAGAATCTGCCCCTGGGATGTTTCCTGAAGAAGTTGATTCAGAGTAGAGGTTACCCAAGTGCGTTTTTAAAGATAAAAACTGGTTATCTTGTTTTGTTCCCCCCCCACCCCCAGGGCTGAAGACCAAACTCAGAACAACTATGAATAATGAGAAAAACAACCTACTCCTTACAGGTGCGCTCTGCCACTGAGCTAAATCCCCAACCCCAAGACTGGTTTGTTTGGGAGAGGGATACCCTCTAGAGAACAGAACTTTCATCTGTGCCTAAAAATAAGCTTTAAATGCGGGCTGGGGTTCTGTCTCACTGGTAGAGCACTTGCCTAGCATGTTAGAGGGCCTGGGTTCCATTCTCAGCACTGCATATAAATACATATAATAAAGGTCCATTGACAACTAAAAAAATATATTTAAAAAATAAAAAAAAGCTTTAATGCCCTTGTCATTATTTCCTCCAACTCCCTCTTATTCATGAGACTTTGATCTTGACAACTGTATGCAAGGATGACAGAGATCTGAGAGTACGATACTATAAAACACTGGGGCGGGGACTCAGCGGTAGCGCACTTGCCTGGCACGTGTGAGGCACTGGGTTCAATTCTCAGCACCACATATAAATAAATAAATAAATATAATAAAGATCTATCAAAAATTAAAAAAAAAAAACAAAACACTTCAGTGCTGGGGATGTAGCTCATTGGCCCGGCATGCACAAGGCCCTGGGGTTCAATCCCCAGCACTGCAAAAAAACAGGCCAATAAAGGAAAAAAACTCTAAAGCTAGAAAGATCTGGGTTCAAATCCTACGTTCCACTGTAAGTTGAATTATTATGGTAAATAAGTTACCTACCCTGATTTCTGAGTAAAATGGAGCAACATGCTGCAATGAGTGGAAATGACAGATTAAAAAGACATCTAACTAAGAACTCATGCACTGAAAGCCCCTGGCCCATGGAGCTATGATTTCTATATCACAAGACCTTTGACTGGAGTGTGAGGTCGGGGAGTGGATGTGAGGCAGGAAGAAAAGCACTTAAAAGTGATTCTCCTGTCATTCCATTGGGATTCCATGTCTGGCATTCTAATTTGCTGAAGATGAATTGATTCCATCAGTTCATGCAGATGTAAGTGCATTTGACAGAATACAGCAAAGTTAGAATTTATACTGTGGGCTATTTTTAAAACTGCTAGGTTAGCAAAGTAAACTGGCTGTGAAAATATCCTGGTTTCCGTTCACAACAAATACAAGACAAACCATTTTCCTTTAATGACTCTGGCCTCGTGGCAGCATAATCTCTTCTGCATAATTCATTCCTAAGGGTTTCAGAGACATAATTTTCTTAAGACAGATCAAAATTAAACTACTTTTCTAGGAAGAAAAAATGAAGAAGAGGGGTTTCCACAGATTTTTCAATAAATTCCATGAATCACCATCCCATTAGGAGACTACAAGTCTCAAGAAAAAAATAGTAGTTCTGTCAGTACTTTAAGCCAGTCTGAAGTTTTTTTCCTTTAAAAGGGCATATGAAAAACTGGTCTGCTCTACAATACAATTTTTCAAATTCTGTGACAGAGGGAGAAAAAAAATCGACTACTCAATTTTTTTCACCAAAAAGCTACCCAGCAGACTCCAAATTTCAGGTTTAAAACCAATCACCCTTGAAAAAGTCCAAGGAGAGATCTTGTATTGTTTAAAATGTTGGCTAAATTATGTTAATTATAATTCCTGCTCCTTTAGGGAAACAATTTGTATTTAAACAATGATCAGAAGTGTAAATAACCAAATGGAATAGAATTTCAGGAAGTACTATTCAAATAAATTCAAACTTGGAATGTAGGCGCAGTCAGTTTAGTTCACTTCATAAAGACATTGCTAAGAAAAGGATGTACTATTTTACACTTTCTTTGGAAAACAACCAAAATGAATTAGTTCAATTTGGAACATCCTGAGCCTTAAAGCCTTTGCAAAAGCATAATATAAATTTTGATTAGTCAAGTGTGAAAAACTACAAAGCCAACTTTCTTGTCCCTCCAGTTAGTCAGTCTATAAATAGAAGCAATGCATTAAGAGCACCAAAGCAACTGGTGAGTTCCACAATATCTCCAATGTATACATCCCAGCAAATATACTCTCAGCTTGTTGAACCAAAGTGTTTCCAAGGATCTGTAACAGAACCCTTTTTAAATAAACAGTGACTCACTGTTTGCTTTCTTCACCAGGAGGTGGAGTCTTGCCATGCCCTTCCATTACAAAATCCTCCTGTTCCACCTGCAAAGGCAAGAACCATAGGTTAGATGCACCCACTAAGTAATATGCAGCTCACTCCAAAGTGCCAGGCTCTGCCTGTGCACAGGGCCATGACACTGCAGTAGCTAGGCCAGAAGCTTAGGACCTGTGGTTTTCATTCTTCTTCACTCTCCAGATTTGCTTAAGGTACTTCTCCTTGGGTGACTAGATTTGCTGAATGAAAAAGGAATCATGTTGATTTGCACCTCATGTAACAAAGGATTTGCATCTGGAATGTAAAAGAAAGACTATGAATCAATGAGAAAAACAACCTACTCAAAAAGTCTGCAAAATAACTAAATAGGAGTTCCACTGAGACTTATGCATATGAAAAGACGCTTAATCTCATGTCAGTCAGGAAAATGCAAACTGAAATCACAAAGAGAGATCATTTTGCAACCACCAGGTTGGCTAAAATGAAAAAGTCTAGCAATATCAAGCACTGGCCAAGCAACAGCAGCTCTCACCCACACCCAACAGGAGGGAAAAATAGGTACAATTACTTTGAAAACAGTTTTTGCCATTCCCTGCTACATAGGAACATGTACTTACTATACAAATTTCTTCCTATTTTTTCAAGGTTTTTTTTTTTTTAAGTTGTAGATTGACACAATACATTCATTTTATTTATTTATTTTTATGTGATGCTGAGGATCGAACCCAGTGCCTCACATGTGTTGGGCAAGCGTTCTACCACTGAGCTACAACCATAGCCTTACTATACAAATTTCTAACTGTATTTCTAGCTATGTACTCTAAAGATGCTTTTGCACATATGCAAATATATTTATAGCAATATTATTTTAACAGAAAAAAATACAGAACTATCCATCAACAGTGAAATAGATAAATAGGCTCTGATGCTCTCAGACAACAGAATGCTATGCTACATGAAAAATAAATGAACTACAGCTACATGCTTCAACCTGGATGAGTTACAAAAAATTAACACTGAGTGAAAGAAACAAGACACAAAAGAATACAGTTATCCCAGGCTGGGGATGTGGCTCAGTGGTAGAACACTTACCTGGTATGTGTGAAGCCCAACACTGTCAAAACAAAACAACACAACAACAACAACAACAAAGTTATCCCTTGGTACCACAGAGGACTGGTTTAAGGACAACTTCCTTCCCTATGGGTATCAAAATCCACTGACACTCAAGTCCTTTATATAGAAGAAACAACACATGCATATAATCCATGTGCATCCTCTGTGTACTTTAACTCACCTCTAGATTTTCTATAATATCTTATATAATGTAAATGCTATGTAAAAAGTTCTTACACTGTGTTATTTAAGGAATAATAACAAGGAAAAAAGTCTGAACATGCTCGGTATAGGTGTAATTTTTTTTTCCCCCCCTGAATGGCCATTGTAGGTATAGGTAGAAGTCCAATATGCTATCCACTGAGCTACTGAGCCACAGAGCCAGCTGTAGTTTTTTTTTCTTTTTTTCTGAATATTTCTATCTATGGTTGAGTAAGTCTATCCATGGATGTGGAACTCACAGAAGGGAGAAGGCTGACTCTACAAATACAATATAATTTCATTAATATAGAGCTCAAATATATACATTTTAAATCACATACAGCATAAGCACCCCTAATCTGGAAATCCAATCAGAGCATTTCGATTTCAGATTTTCAGATTAGGGATGGTTCAATCTGTGAAGTCTATGCAAATATTTCAAAATCTCAAACCCTCAAACTGGAAACACTTCCAATTCCAGGAATTAAGACAAGGGACACTCAGTGTGTGTGTGTGTGTGTGTGTGTGTATGGTGTGTGTGTGTATGTGTGTGTACACAAATCTTTGTGTAGATGGCCATAAAAAACCATAAAAATGGAAAAGTTTAATACAACATTTAGGTAGTAACTGACTTACGGTGGGAGGGGATATGATGAGGGAGAAAATTCACTCAGGGAGGAGTACATGGAGAGTTCTGAGGTATAGTTACGTATCTATTGGTCTCTACAATAGGTGTTGTTTTCTTCATAACTGTATATAGATATATGTGATATAGATGGTATATACAGATATATGTATATGGCTTATATAAATTTTCAAAGGAAAGAGAACCATTTTACTATTCCAGAAATTTACTGGTCTATAAAGAAAGATAAGTGACAGAAATAAAGTCACCTCTATAAATAGGTTTAACAGTCCTATGAAAACTCCCCCAAAAGGTGTAATGTTAAAAATCAAATAGATGTATTCAAGGATATAGATGGACTATTCCTCACTAAGAAAAATAAAGTCCTTTTCTTTTCTTTTTTTTGGTACTGGAAATTGAATACAGAGGCACTTTACCACTGAGCTATATACCCTTGGCCCTTTCAAATTTTTAACTTTGAGACAGGACCTCACGAAGTTGATGGGGCTGGGATTACAGGCCTGTATCATCACACCAGCAAAACAGTCCATTTTTCACAGGACCGGATGATCTAGAAGACAGACAAGAGCACCGCAGATACACACCATGATGACATCCAAACAAAAGAAATAGCTTTCTAGGAATACTATCCTCTCCACAGTTCATCACATCTCAGAAATGAGAGGAGATGAAATATTGGTAAGAGAAGCTATTTCTCAAAAAGAACAGAAAAATGAGAAGTTTATTTTATTTCCAATAAAAAGAGAAATTGGCAGAAGGAGAAGCAAGAATAATAAAAGATATACACTGCACATACGGTGAAATTCAAAACAAGCTTGACTTTTCTTTCTTTCTCATGGACTTCCTGATTCTATAGCCCACAGGGCTTTGCCAAGGAGAGAAAAGATTCATTCTCCCATCCTAAATTTACAGAGTTCTAAGAACTTGGACCTGGGGCTGTAGCTCAGGGCATAGAGCACTTGCTAAGTATGTGACAAACCTGTGTTCAATCCCCAGCACCACAAAAATAAATAAATAAAAATAAAGTAAAATCTCTAGATGAGAAAAGAGGGAAGAGGTGACAATGTTATAGAGAGAGACTTAGAAAGAGCCAGAGATGATCTACATCTGGATCTGATTTGTAGTTACAACAATATGCACATAATTTTCTAAAAAATCGTTATCATTGAGTTGTACATTTTATGCCTTTAATCATACAAATGTCATATTTTAATTTGGAAAAAATAAAATGAAAATTGTTTAAAACGTATTAAGTGTCTTGGAACTTTAAGTGTAAACCATTTTCTCAAAGACAAGAATGTCAGGGAGCATGGTAGCACATGCCTACAATCCCAGCTGCTCGATGGGGAGTGAAACAGAAGGATCTCAAGTTCAAGGCCAGCCTGGTCAACTTAGCAAGGCACTATCTCAAAATAAAATGAAAAGCCTGGGGCTGTAGCTCAGTGGTAGAGTATGTGCCTAGAACATGCAAAGCCCTTGATTTAATCTTCAATACCACAAAAGCAAAAAACAAAAACCAAGAATACCTATATTCCAAATTGTATACATCATGAAATTTTCTTGATCCTTCTTCTTTAGGTCCCCTCCAACGAAAGAGTTCTAAATTGTGTGCCTTGATCTGTTTACTAGTAAAATAATAAAAAAGGATTTACCTATAATTAAAAAAAAAAAAAATGGGGGATGGTGCTGGGGATCCAATCCAGGGCCTTTCACATGCTAAGCAAGCACTCTACTACTGAGCTACATACCCAGCTTCAAGAACCTCCTGATCACCTCCCAGATCTTAACTCCAGCTCTCCTATTCTATTTGGATTGTCCAACAGGTCCAAAATGAAACGTTATCTTAGTCCCCAAATGTCCTCTATTTACATCCCTATTTCTGTGAATGATACCACCATTTACTAAAATCCTCTAACAATAAAAACCTATCATTGATCTAAATCCTCTGCTTTTTCTCATTAACCCCACATTTACTGACTCCCTACATGCTACAGCTTCTATCTCATAAACAGCTCTCATATCGCTGACTCCTTCTCAACTGCCAGCTACTCTAAATATCATTATGACCGAAGCCTTCTCACTGGTCTGTGCTTCTGGGTCCCATCCCACTTTAATCCATTCTCCAAACCACTTACATGTATAAATATACTATGCAAAATGCAAATATGATTGCATTTACTTCTCTGCTCAAAATTCTTCAAGGGTACTCTGTCACCTTCAAGGTTCACTGCCTTCTAGAAACAGGTGCAGAGAGGCATTTCAGGGTAGATGTTCAGGCAAGGGGAGGATCAGAGGAGGGAGTGCCTGATGTCAGGAGAGTTTTCTAGAAAGGAAACTCTGAAATCAGTTTTGAAGGCTGAGGAAAAGTTCACCCCAAATACCAGATAAAGAAGTGTTAAGAATTCAGCTCTTCTGCCTCCCTCAAGCTTTCGGAATCCCTGGTGCCACACACTGCCTGCCCTACAGCCCTCCTCCACGCCTCATCTTTTGCAGGGGATTGATTCCAAGATACCACCCACCCATGGGGAATACCCATGTCCTCAGATGCTCAGATCCCTTATATAAAATACCATAATGTTTCTATATAATCTATATACATCCTTGCACACATTTAAATCATCTAGATGATCTCTAATCATCTCGATTACTTACAATACTTGATACAATGTAAATAAAATTCTATACAGTTACACTATATCACTTAGGAGATAAGGACAACAACCAAAGTATGTACTCTTCAGTATAGATGCAGTTTGTCCCCCCAATATTTTCAACCCACGGTTAATTGAATCCATGGGTTTGAAACCTAAAGCTACAGAGTACTGACTCTAGTTTTCCCTCTTCTTTTTGGAGGTAGGGAGTACCAGGGATTTGACCCAGAGGCACTGTACCATTGAGCTACATCCCCAACCCTTTTTATTTTTTATTTTGAGACAGGGTCTTTAGCAAGATGAGGTGGGCCTAGAACTTAAGCTCCTCCTATTTCCAATTCCCGAAACACTGAAATTACAGGCCCACCACTGGCGTAGCCATGTTTCCGCTTGCCAAGACCCCTTGGTATACTCTCTCCCTTCCACTCCACAT